ATTCTTTCGCTCTAGAGAACTAGGGGTTATTTGACTTGATCCTATTAAAAGTAAATGGAAAATTATGTTTCCTTTTGTCCACAAAATTCCTCTCCACAATTCTAAAAGAATTTTTAAAAATGTTAAATTTTTAATAATCATAACATTTTTGAAATTCTTGGAAATGCTTTTCCTGAGTAATTCTTATAAAATTGTTGGAGTATTATTTTAGCACACAATTTAAAGCCTATACAATTTAAGACCCAACTATTTTAAACTAAAACTAAATTTAACAAAAGAAATAATGAAAAACATCTTTTGTAGCGTGTCAATTGGTTCCCCTGCAAAAATTCCCCAAAAGGATATAAATATTGAAACCATTTAATGTCTCTATTATTTATTCAAAGCAATTACTTCTTTAGAAAAAATGGCTTCCTTGGGTTCCTTAGTTCAGTGGGTCTGAAGATCGCAGAAGGCTGGCCTTCTACCCGCTTGAGCTCGGCTCCTCTTTCGAAGGACTTCGTGTCCTGTCGTCGGGTGATGGAGCTCAGCTGCAGCAGCAACATGCAACAGCAACAGCATCGTGTTGCTGGTGTGCGTGTGCCCCTCTCCCCAGCAGCAGCAGCAGCAGGTTTAGTTGTAGTTGTAGACTTTTTGCTTTTCTACATCCTCACACACACACACACACATGCGAGTGCAGGAGGCGAAGTTTTGGAGCCTTGCACATAATGTAAACAAGGACATGCGCAATGCAACGCTTCCCCAACAGGAGAAGTGCATTGCAGGCAATGCAATTGCCAACTAGAAGATAGCAGCAGCAGCGGCTGAAGGGGCAGTGGGTGGTGGGGTGGCTGGGTGGCATTTTGGGGTGGCTTGTGGGGCAGCTTCATTTACCAGCGGCTGCACTAGTAAATAGCAGTTGGCAGAGCAGCCAGCGCTGGCAGCGCAGTCGGCGCCAACTTGCCACAGTTTAGATGGGAAAAAAGGAAAACTCCAGAGAGAAAGACAGAGTGAAAGAGAGAGGGAAAGAAAGTGAGAGAGAGAGAGCGAAGGCTGCGCAACGAGAGCTGCGAGTGCAGCCGAAAGGATGCAACGCTGCAAGGCAATTGCACTCCAGGACTCTCACACACACACACACACATAGGCAGACAAGCAGCTAGACTGAGGCGGTTGCTTCTTTTTTGGTTGTGTTGTCTCTTTTCGGCTTATTTTTAGAAGTCCTTTCCCCCTAGCCACCCTTTCTTCTCCACCCCCTCTTGGCTGCAGTTTATTTACTTGACCAGGCCTGGGAAATTTACATGGCAGCCGAGGCAGGGGCGAAAAGGGGGGTTGCTGCATCCACAGTAGCAGCTGTTCCTGGAGCCCCAGCACGTGCAGCAAGCAACTGCCCTTCAGCCACCCAGTCACCACCCACCTGGCTGCGTGATTTGTGCGTTGCCAGCAGGATGACGATAACCATGATGATGATGATGATGGCGATGGCGAGGGAACTCGTAATGATCTGGGGTCCAAAAAAGGAGGCTGTATAGAGGGGGTGGTGCAGCTGCATTTCTTTGCCAGCATCGCCGTGCGTGGTTGGTCGGCTCGAAAAAGGGTCGAACGGGGGGTGGGGGGATGGGTTTCTGCTTTCAAGTGTGGGCGCGTAGACATTGCGTAGAGTTGGAGCCAAGTTTTTTCTATTTCTTGATGGGCAGCCTGGCTACTGACCCACCCCCTCCCCAAACACCCACCACCCCTTTTGGGCCGCGCTTCATTCGCACATCGAGTGGTCAAAGTACATAGAGTTACCCCGGCTTATGTGTGTGTGTTTGTGCGCTTTTTGCGCGCGCGAACTTTTGCCAAAGGAAAAAAACTTAAACAGAGATGCTTTTACATACGGAGGCGGGGGGTGTCGCTGCATTTTGCGCGTCTGTAGCTTTTTTTGGCGGCTGTCGATGGGGGGGGGATTGCAGGACATGGTATGGTGCCCAGGGTGGAGGCCATGTACGCGTCGTCGTTTGCCAAAGTCCGTGTCCGTGTCCGTGTCCGTGTCGCGATGACGGAACGCCGAACGAACTGAACGCAAACGCAACGCAACGCAACGCATCTATCGGCATCGGAAGGCATCGGCCGGGCACTGGGCACCGCCGCAGTTGGCATACGGCTTTTGGACGTCTTTTGAGTAGAACATTGCTTTTTTATATTCTCGGCTCGACGCACCGCACCGAGCAAAAGAAGTAACGCCAACGCCAGCGATACGCCGCCACGTAACGATTGCTGAAGCTCCAGCGAGGTGCCGCAGAGTTGGTCCAAGTCGTCGACGGTTCGGTTCAGTTTCGGACTTGCTTATTTTCTAAAAAATCAAAAGCAAACCATCCCAGCACACACACACGCGGTGCGGTGGAGTGGAGTGAGGCCGCATTATTATATATAAAATATATATATTCCATATATATATATATACGGTATAGAATATAGATATATATATATATACACATATAAATGGGTGCAAAGTGCGCGCGCGTTTGCCGCCCCCAAAGTCAAACGCCCACGCCCCCCGTACCGCTGAGGGGCTGAGGCTTCAGTTGCAGTTCGAGTGCCGTCAAATACTATTTATATACAATAAATGAAATAAAATATATACAAATATCTATCTATATATATATATATCTAAATATATGCATCCGGCCGCGAGTGTCCTTTCGTGTGCGTTCGTGTGTGTGTGCCTGCGTGTGTGTGCGTCAGCGGGTGTGTGTTACAATAACAGCTTCGATTGAAAGCAAACAACGAAATTCTAATGCAATCAACTGATTTTTTTGACACATCCAATTGATTTTTAAACAATCCGCCGCTGCCCCCGTGAAGACCAAAATTTAAAACGCTCGATTGAATCAAAACGAATTGCTGACATCTTGAAACCAAAGATCCCATTCTCGTTCCAAAAAAACAGTCCAGTCAACGGCGTCCACTCGTCTGCGTCGTCGTCTGCTGTCATCTGTCTTTCAAAAATAAATTTCCCCCAAAATGCTTAAGATGCTAGCCTCGAGAAATGGCAAACCCTAGATAAGCAAGATGCTATTAAACCTTTGAAAGCAAATATTAAACGGGAAACCCGACAAAGTCCACTGACTGACCTCTCATGTTTGCACACACTCTGATCCTGGTGCAATCCGACAGATACTGCGAGGCACTGCAACCGATCGAAAAGCCGCCAGAGCCTCATCGCGATCCTCTGGAGCGGCTGGCTCAGCTCATCCAGCTGGACCGCTCGCACCGCTCCGCGTTCCCGGCGACGGCGACGCAGACAACGATGCCAGAGTGGCCGGCGAACTGCCTCACAGGACTCACCAGGATCCTTCGGATCAACCAGGCCGTTGCCGTGGACACGAGAGAAAAACTGAACACCGCCATGGATAAATAACATCAGTAAATTGTCCTGTACGTGATCGAAAATCAAAATCGCATATGCCCCATGTTAAAACCCCCTAAAATGCACTGGTCCATCATCAATCGAAGTTTTCGAAAATTCTATCTATTAAATTATAAAGCTAGGAGCTAGGGCAGTTAAAAAATTTGGGATTCATTCATTAACATATCTTTCTAATATCATACAAAATATATTAAACCATGTAAAGCTTCTCACTAAAATATTACAAGGTACAAAGGCGACCGTCTAAAAAAATATAACCTTTAGTAGTATTAGTAATCATTTAAAAAAAAAAAAATACATGTTTTATTTTTCCCTCGGAATACAGGTTTTTTTTTCAACTAAAATTATCTTAGCATTACAAAAATATTCCTTTAAATTATTTTAGATAATATATTGTCCTTTTAGTTTTCTTCAGTGTATTTATCCAATTTTTAAAAGTTTTTAATGAGGAAAACATTTTTAGCTAATTTCCTTTTTATTTTCATTAAGTTTATTCCTTATTTTCCTGTCTTTACTATTATTTACACTTAGGTGTATGCCTTATTTTCGGTCAGCTAATTTTCATAGATATTTCCTTTACTTAAACTACTTGTTAGCTTCATTTGAGTACCTCTCAAAACATTGGCACGTGTGAGCTCGTTAAAAAAAAAACAAATCTGTTGTAAAATGGGGCGAAACTCTAGAACTCGCTGTATTAAGAGACATAAGACCAAAGTCCTTTCCCCAACGCAAGTACCGACGGCAACTCTGAGTGGTTTCTTGTCAGCAATCTCAAAGTAGGGTTCAGATTTTGGAGTATCTTGTGGAATGCAATTCGAACATGGGGGAATCTTGAGAGTAGAGGAGAATGTCCTGAGAAAGTCTTTGTCCACCCCTTTTGGGGTGATGCTCTTTCTGCTGCTAAACACCACCACACTAACACTGCCTAACCGGAAGCACACACACACACACACGCACACTTGCCCATTCTCCATTTTGTTTCAGCTGCCCCAACTGGCAGCGACGTCGACGTCGGCAGCGCTGCCTGCCCCTCCATATACACGGGTATTTGAAATGCGCACTAGCTCTAGCTCAAAGAGCTTATGTGTCTGTGTGAGCTCCCCTCCAATTTAGCACTGTGTGTGAGTGTGTTGTGGGTGGGTGGGAGAGTATCCTGTTTCGGGTGGGTGGTTCAGGGTGTCCTGGCAGCGCTGCCGCTGATTTTATTTGCAAAGCCCCACTGTGTGCTTTTGCTGTTGCCTTTGGCTTTGCAATGCCTCCCTGGGAAATATAGCCTCTCCTCCCCCCGGACATTCGCGTATTTTTTCGCGGCTGCGGCGGGCAAACATTTTTTGCTGCCAATACACACACATACCAGCGCACTCACACCCATGCACACACACACACACACACAGTCACGTATTGGCTGGGGCAGAGAGTCGCGGCAACGACAACGACAACGCAACGACAACGACACCGTCAGCGGTCGTCCTCGGCCTATTCGCGGCGAAATAATTTTTCGCATTTTTAGTACAAAGCTTCACATCAACGTCGTCGTACAAACAAATTTTTATTTTCGGATTTTTCAATTACGTTTTCATTTATTTTTAAGTATTAAGTTTGCGTGCACTCAAAAACAAAAACAAAAAGCAACAAAATCAGCAACTAAAACTCGAACAAATTCATAAGGAAATTCGTACCCAGAAAAACAGTTGATAGATCGTGTGTCCAAACATCGAAAATAAAAAAAAAAAAAAAGTAAAACTCATTCAGAACCAAAAGGAATCGAACCACATTTACCGGCTTCCAAAGAACGATTCTCAAGTGTTTTTTCGCCGTCTCTCCAAAAACGTCTCGATTAAACTCTCAACCGGCAGGAACTCTCGACGATTCTCAGTTTGTTATTTGTTTGAACTTGTTTGCCCTCCCACAACACAATATCATCATCAGTCCGTTTTAGTTCTTAACGAAAAAAGTAACAAACTATATATTTAACAAAAACTTTTAAGAAAATATAAAACATTACGAACAAAATCGCGAAGAAATTGAATAAAAAAGACACTAGATGAACAAAGACACAAGTTACAAAATTCAAATGTAAAATCAAAAGTACAAAGCAAAAAGATTGTTGGCAACATTTTTATAAGTATATATACGTATTATTATGATTTGTATATATTTTTTATACGAACTCGAAACTACAGAGTCCAAAAATCAATTTTGATACGCAGAATTGCTCATGTGATGCTCCGAATCCTCCGACGGGTAAGCAAATAGTGTGTTCTCTTGAGAAGAAGACGCTGGCGGAGACAGAGAAGGAGCAAGAGAAAGAGAAAGAGGGGAGAGATAGGTAGAGAGAGAATGAGAGAGATTGCTCCTTTCGAAAGTCTCCGAACTGAGCCGGCAATACGAAGAATGCCAGCCGCAGGCTTCGGGTCTTCGTGCCTTCGTGCCTGATTTTCGGCTGCTTCGTATCCTGCTGCTTTCTAATTGCGTCCTCTCTCTGCCGGCGTCTGAGTGTGCATGTGCGTGTGTGTGTGTGAGTGCATTACATTATCCTGAGGCAGCGGCTACACCTACACACCTACGCAGCAGCTTCGGCATCCCGACTTCCGATTCCGAATCCGCTCCGATGCCGACTCGGCAAGGACCTCAACTTGCTGCGGCCGCTGCCTGCCTGCTTCTTCTCTTCTAGTCCTTCTTAAGCTACGCGCGCGTACGGTCGTACCGCCCGCCCGCCCGCTCGCCCGCTCGTCCGCTCGTAGCTCCTTCCGCTCGTTCTCGTCCCGCTCGTGGCCGCTTCGTTCCGTTTCGGCAGTCGGCTCCTCCTTGGAGCTTCCTTCTTCGTGCAGGTATGCGTGCGTCTATGTGTGTGTTTGTGTGTGTGAGAGCAGGCGCACACTTACTTGCACTTACTGCGTGTAGGAAATTATCTGCTGCCTCTGCCGCTGCCGGCGTCGCCTAATACATATATAAATAATATATATTATTATATGGGATATACATATATTTAAAAGCGACGACGCTCGTGTATATAGAAAAGGCAGCTCGTTATCGCAGATGCCAGGATAAGGGATGCCAAGGGGGGTGGGTAGTAGGGGTATAGGTAGTGGGCAGTGGGGAGTAGAAGGACTCGCCTGCTTGCAAGAAAGTGTAGCACACTTATGTGGGCAGGCGTTGACTGAAGCAGCAGCAGCATCAGCATCAGTAGCAGCAGCGGCAGCTGAGACGGAAACGGAAACGGAGACCGAATCCTCGACTTCGACTTCGACTGAGGCAGCGCCTTGGTCTTCTGGCACTTTACTTTCGCAGGCTAGAATACAAAATTCAGTACGTTTCCAGTCACGCGCGCTGGCAGAAGTTTTGCTTGCGTATGTCTTCTATCGACGACGCCGACGAACGCCGCCTCGACTTGTGTAAAAATTCAAATCACTCCAAATAAATTATTAAAATAAAATAATAATAAAATATTCAAACAAAAATTAAAAAATAAAAACAACTAAATTGTTTAGCGTGCTTAAGCTGTGTGTCTGAGTTGAAGAATCAATTCAAATCAGTTTCAAATCAATTAAAATAAAATAAAATAAAAAAATATTTAAAATAAATTAAAATAAAATAAATAAATAAATTTTATTATCAAATAAATTAGAATAACCATTTAAAGCCTAGTTCAGCCAGCTCAATCGTCTCGCCCATCGAACCCAGTCACAGATCCTCCTCAATTAGTTCAAGTGTCGCTGTCTTGTGGTACGTGCAACTTGCGGCGCCTCTTTATTCGCTGCCTTCTTTCGCGATTAGCCAACCAAAGGGCCACACACACACTCCAACAAAACGAAAAAAAAAATACTAATACAAAAAAACCATCGAACACAACCAACACACACACACACACGCAATCGGGCGCCACTTGCTGCTGTTGCTGCGGCATTGGTGGCCACATTGCGCATACGACATGTTAGCCCGCAATTATCCTGCCTGCGCATTGGCAGGCGCCGCGTCTTGGCTTTGATGGGGAAAAACTTGGCAGGAAATTATCTAAAGCGCCCAAGGCAACGCCAGAGCCTCAGATTCGCCGCAGCCCCGCTCAACTTTGTCAGCAACTTTTCACAGACACTGAGGCACTCAGAAACTCAGACACTCACAAACACCATCAGCAGACCATACTTATACTTATATAGTTGAGAACAGCGGGTCGTGTCTAATTTTATATAAATACTCTCCACACAGACACACTGGCCCATTCGGAGCCGAATATAAAAGCATTGGGGCTTCGTTTCTTGGGAGACATTTGATCGTCTTGGCTTGCAGCGACAGCAGCGCAGCAGCAGCGGCCAGTTAGAAGGCTCATCCTTAGTCAGTTGGTCACCCAGCTAGGGAACAACAACAGCGCAACAGAACAACCAGGCAATAGCAGTCAGTAATCAGTTACCCGTTAGCCCCATAAGTCCACACTTCGACGATGGTACGTGCCAGGTTGGGGGATGGAATGATGAGAGCATCCAATCGAAAAATGTTCAATATAAGCTAATGCTAATGAATGGTTAAAAAATATCCCCAAACTGTGACAAAGTGAGCCCAAATTTCGTGCCTAAAAAACCACAAGAATTTATCAACTCAGAAAACAAATGTTGTGAAACAAATCAGTGATACAAAAAATAACAATAATAACTAATGAAAAATAATTTTAACAAAACCTCTTATAATTCTAAATATTTTCTTATAGTTAAATTAAAACATTTCTTTTTATCTGTTTTATATCTTTTTAAAAGTTTTTTTATGTTTTACAAATAATTTTTTACGTTTTATAAATATGTTAACATTTTATTTGAGAATATTTAAAATTTTTTAAATGTTATTTTTTCTATATTGTTTTATTAAATTAATATAATATTTTTTTATCCTAAACATTATTTTGAAAATCTTCATATTAAATAATAATGAATATATTTTTTTTAAAGAATCCCAAATCTAGCCTGAATAAAAATTAACAATAAACCACAAGAAGAAAAGTCCGACAAGATAAATAACAAAGAAAAATGCTCGAAATTCTAAATTAAACTTGTAAAATCGAAAGCGCTGCGGCAACAAATCTTTGGAAAACCTTTCCGAAAGAAACCGTAGAAATAAATAAACAAAAGTAACTAAATAACTAAACAAATAACCGGAAATGATCTGAAACAGTGAAAAGTGTGGCATAATTTTCGGTGTGCCTCGCCATAAAGTGACAAGAAATGTAGCAAGCCGTGCGGCGGTTCCTAAAAATATAAATAATTTTGTTTAGAAATAATTGAAAAGAAAATGTGCCATTTGTGACCCCTGATGACCCCAGTCCCGACCCCCGTTGACCGCAGCGCTAGAGTGAATTGTGTTCGCCTACCCAAGTCCCAAAACGAAAAAGTCGCCCCCAAAAAATAAAATCTGTGCACAACAAATCGGCCAGAGAAATGAGCCGCCCTCATCCGAATTCCGATCCGCATCACCAGCGACCGGAGCGGTCAGCGGACCTTTCCCGCCCGCTCCTGCTCCTGGCAGCGGTACAGTCCCGCTCCCCGGGAGCGACTGTCGCTGCCGCCGCTCCTGCCGCCAGCTGCCAACGCTGAACACACGGCCCCAATGAAGCGGGGAGATCCTCTGAAGCGGCTCGATTCGCACTCGCCACTGGCATTGTAACTTAAATTAAGGGTAAAATATCGCAAATGGTATTGGTGCAAAAAAAAAAAAAACAAAACCAAGAAAACAAACCAAAAACTAAACATTTCCCCCCAAACAAACTGAACATTCGAGAAAATCATATTTTGATTAGAGTAATATTAAACTTAAGCTTAGGCAACTAAGGAGCTCAGATATAAAATAGAAAAGCTGCAAGTTTATTTGTTGTGCTTAAAAAATACCCAAATTAACTTCTTATTTCATACCTATTTTAAATTATTTCTTTGGTAAGACACTGATATTACAAAATTTGAATCACTCCAATCAAGTATAATTATTGTTAATCAAAATAAAAATTTTTAAATGCTTTAAAAAATATTAAGTTCAACGTCAATTTATAATATCAGCAGCCATAGAACTTACAATTTTTGTGGGTTGATTTATTTGTAAATACAAATACAAACCACTTCAAAACTTAAAAGCTTTTTAAAAAATTAAAATTTCATACATATTTTCTTATTCAGAACAGTTTCAATTTTTTTGTATTATTTTATTTGTAAAAATGTAATCACCCCTTCCCAAATTGTAATTACTTAATTTTCGCTTGCAGCTTGTGACTTGCAAACCCATCCAATCACTTATAAATATTAACCCTATAAAACCGCCAAATAGCTCGCACTTAAAACAATGCAGTTGAGTTAGACAAACAAACTTTGAGAATAGGGCTTGTGAACTTTTCCCCCATTGAATTCTCCACAACCATTTCAGCTTACCATCTGAATAAATTGACCAGATTACTAATCTTACATTTACGTTGCGCCCTGTGCAATCGTCTGCTTTTTACTTGCAGGTTACACCATATCGAGAAGTTATCCAATGAGAAAGCCGCTTAAATTTTGGTAAGTCCACTTCATATATAACCCTCTAACTTTAAGTCTGCGTCCAGTCTTGGACTAATGAAACGCCTTTGTGCTCGAGTGGACTTCATTTTTTAATTAGAAAGTCAACACACACACACAGAGACAGAGGGTATCCTTAATCGAAAAGTGCTGCCATATGGAGAGGCGCCTTTGTGAGCTGCAGGACTCGGCAATCCTCGCTTGTTTGCCTTTGTTTATTTGTGTGCTACTTAAGATGAAATGGCAAAGAAAACTGACAGAGATGGTTGTGTTGGGGGCGGGAAGGCGGGGGCATCTACATACATCTGCCCTGTGTCCGTTTCAATTTCTCCTACCAAGTCAGCCCTTCACGCAGACATTTTCTTTGACTTTCCACCCGCCAGACCTGCTGGGAGAAAATAAAAAAGGAAAACAAACAGAGGCGTCTGGGCTAGAAGAAGTGTAGGGAACAGTACAGTGCAGTGCAACAGCGGAAACGGAAATTGCTGAAGTTGCATGTGTGTGTTCTATGTACACTGCACATGTGTGTGTGTGTGTGTGTAATGAGGCGCCGTGTTATCCTTTTGCTGACAGCAGACGCCGCTAGTTGCTGCGTTGTTGGATTTACAAGCAGGCTGCAATTATTTTCAGCTTAAGCGACAAAATAGAAGGAAGCAAGTCTTAAGCATTTCCCATTTCCCAGCCTCGTTATTATCCAGCTCGATGCCGTGTAAATGAGTTTTCTGCTGTTTTTACTTGTTATTGCCAACTTCAGTTCTGTTTTGCTTTTCCCTACCCTCGTTTAAATCCACTTGGAGGAGGAACTTTAACCCTTCGGCTTGAGTTGCTCATGTGCAGCCCCCCTCTACTAGCCTGTTTTCTTTTCAGTGCATAAGTAAGTGCACCTAAGGCTACTTATGAAAAATGCTAAATTAAAGTTGACTTTTAGGCGCACAATGCCTGGCCGTAACCCCTCCCATTCCCATTCCCCCATTTTTATTAGCCATCCAAGACCCAGGCAAGTTGCTGTTTTGTTTGTACATTCGCTACCAAGAAAGTTTCACAATGTTTAGCACATTGTATGGAACGAAGGCAACTTTGGCCCAGCATCCAGGTGGAAATGTCATGTAGAAAGTTTCGGGCTTCGAAACTTCGAAACATCGGACCTTTCGCCATGCACGGCCAACTCCTCTGATGGTCGGCCGGAAATCGTTTTAAGAACGGAAGTGAAAATTTCTACCATGCAGCTGAGCGCAACCATCTAAATATACATCTATACATAGCCCTCGAATAATCTCTTATTGAGACCGAACAATATGAAAAAAGTGTGGGGGATGGGGAATGGGGGAGGTAATAGAAGGGGGCTGGCTAGTACAGAGGCAGACCGAAACGCAAATTCATTCAATTGCGAAAAGAAAATTACCCTAAAACGCGGCACAGAAACAGAAACAGAAAGAGACAGAGACATAGAGCCAGCAACAAGTCGCGATGATTATCTGGAATTAAATAAAGCACACATCGGGGCATATAGTATAGCTCGATTCCGATTCCGATCCCGAGTCCGAGCAAAATATCTGACTTGCGCCGGCCAATGGCAGAGCTCACTTGAGCGGCGGCCAAAGTTGCACGCCTCGCTGAGCAAATGTCGCGGCTCTTGTGGAAATTACCACCCCAACCCCCACCACCCACTGACCAGCCCCAGCCCACAGCCCACTCCGCCCCCTGGAAACTACAGCAGTCTGCTCGGTTCCGTTCTATTCCGTTTCAAGCGCTGGAAATTAAGTCAGCAAATGACTTGTAGAATATCCACACATGTCCAGGGTCTGTCTGTCTGTCCGGCCTTCTGTTAGTCTGCGATACTCTATTTATAAAGGGTAGATATAATTCCTTAAAAGGTTGAAACTAAGTTTCTAGAATGTTCTTAACTCCTAATGAATACCATAAAACATACACCTCAATATCATAAATAACTATACATATATTAATTAAAGAGAACTAAGAATAGATTAGATATAGTTGATAAAAGCAATTAGTTTATTCTTTATCAGAGCTCGATAGTTAAAGTTAGTCTAAAAAAAGAACCTAAATATAATAGGTGATCGTAAAATTAGGTACGTTCTAATGATAACGTAACATAACTATAAATTAGAAAATAATCATATATTATTGTTTTTTGATCTCAGTATCTCATAGCTTCACAATAAAATGTAATTCATATCAATTGCTGAACATAAACCCCTTTTGTTTATAAAACTGAGGGCATCCAAACTTCGTAGAGCACCAACCCCCGATCTTTCTTGTTTTTTGTTCGCCTATTTCGGACATGGACAAACTATTGCAACAGATCAGCGGTCGAGCAGCAGCCAGGCGAGCAACAAGATAATCAAGTGTAATTTATTTCGTATTTGGTGCGCGCCATGCATGAGTACGAGCACGACGACAAGTGCGAGTACGAGAGCATCTGTGCGATGCCATCTAGTTCGAGTATCTGGTATTTAGTATCTAGAGAGGAGCACACAATACAGACACCCATTCGCCATAGACTTACATAAACTAGCAGGCGAATCAAGCCTCGGCCCAACCCCCAAAAACCAGACCGGATGCACGAGCACTTGGCGTGAGGCGATCTGAGTCGATTTGGGCTGGTGTCGCGTCTCATATGGCGGGAATCATTCAAGCATCCCATCCCATCCAAATGCACTGGGCTCCAGTCGGATCTAGCTCTATTCGGCGCTATCTAGATCGCTCGACTGCACTGCACTGGTCATGCCAAGGCTCTAAGCTACACTGGATACTGGGTTCTTAAATGTTCTCTAAATTATAATTTATTATTGATTCCAGTTAATTTCAAGCTGATCCATTTTTAGTTTCATTTACTTAATTTTATAACCTTTTTGATTTGGTTTACCTGTAGGTACTTAAAAATCTTAAAATATTTCTCAAATATTCAAGAACAAGTTCTTCTTGCCCATTTTTTTGCATGATGTACTTCGAGGACATTTAACTTCTTCTGTTTCAAGTATAATTTTAACATGTAGGTATTTGAAAATCTAAATTGTTTCTCAAATATTCAAGAACAAGTTCTTCTTAACCTTTTAATGCATGATTGTACTTCGAGGTCGTTTAACTCCTTCTGTATCACGTATAATTAATATCTTATTTTCATTTTTTAACTTATTGTATCTTTTTTAAGTAATATAAGTACTGTGATTAAAATGAATAACCCAAGTGTCAAGTGTACTTAAGACCAGGCGGAAGCTCAATGGTCCCATTCGCATCGATGGCCGCTTTCCACTTTCCCACGTGCTCCGGTCCACAACAAGTGGTCGAGGCACACCCTCTGTCCCCGTCCATCATTCCCTTCCACTTCCACTTCCATTACCATTACCATTTCCCCCGCCAGGCAGCACGCACCAAAGTGGCAGAAAGCAGGGGCGAGCCAGCACAAATACGTATTAAAACGTTAATAATATGCGAGGGCCAGCAACTCATGACAGCCTCAGTCCGCGAAAGTTGCCGGGAACCGATGAAAAGCCGCAGACAGAGCGCCAGTAGCCAGGTAGCCAGGTGAAGGTGCCCGCCTGTCCAACGCAAATCTTTCAAGAGTAGTTCCGCTTTTTTGTTGTGCCCACAGTCAGGGCGACACTTCCGCCGTTGGGTTTTATTCTTTTTTTTTTGAAGGTAGAGTGGGTGACTCGTGGAGTTGGAGGTGGGTATGTGTCACCAAGAACCGGGCACCTGAGCTGCAGTTTCTCCCCTGCCACGCACTGATTTCGGGCCTCTGATTATCTTCATATTGTTTACAATTAAAACAATGACCGCTTTTCAAGGGGGCGGAGGCGTGAAATGTGCGGCACAGACCAAGTTGGAGCTACCGACTACCAGCTACCAACTACCGACTTTTGGTAATTACTTTCGGGCCGGGCGGAAGTGCTCACCATTTTGTTTGTTGTTTCCTCGACTTTATTTCTTACTGCGTATTGGCCAGTAATAATAATGCCCAAAGTTTCTGTGGGCTGGGTCCAAAGTTTCGTTCTGCCAGTTGAGCAGACTGAATGTAAGTTTGGCTTGGCATGGTATATGGTATGGTATAGTACTTGTTTGAGAAGGGGCTGGGTAGTGGGTGTATTTCTTTGCGCTTCCGTAAGCAGCGAATCGGTATTTTTCTATATTCTCCAGCCAGAGTGAGAGGAGAATTGATTTCGCCGCGCTTGGCATTTGTTGAACTTACTTGATTTCGTAGAAGTAAGAGGTTTCCCCTACACCGGCTCAATTATCACCCATAAAAAACCATAGAAAGACTCTCATTGGTTGTCTTCGGTGGAGAGATAGGTAGAACCTCCTCCAGCTAAAGGAAAGTCGGAAAGTTGAGGGGCTCCATCGTCGTCTGCGACCACAGAAAGTTTGACCAGGCCGAGTTCTAATCAATAAATCACTTCAAGGTTTTCTTAATTAAAACTTTTCCCTTGCACCCGACCACAAAAAGTCTTGTACCCCCCTCGTTTTGGGAACATACTTGTAGACTAAACTTTTTACACAATCCATACCAAAAAAAAAAGGACAAAAAATTGATTAACTACCGGGCGACCACAAAAAACAAGGACTCGCACACACAGGCAAAGTTCTGAACCCTTTCCAATAAGAAAAAGTTTCGACTTGAGCAAGAAAAGTGCAAGCCAAAGAAGACACACCAATAAGGATCGCAGGAGCAGGGATACGAAACTATGGCACATAAAAACTGAAAACTATTAAGCGCTTAAGTCAGCCGGAAAATGAGACAAAATAGTTGGCGAACTGAGCTCAGGACGAAGACTGAAGTTGAGAAATAAGCGAGCCATTAATTAAGGGTTGGCGGCATAAGAATCCTTGGACTGGGGCAACCGAAAAGGACATTCAAAATCGCATAGGACTAATTGGCAAGCGCGATGGGAACAAAGCCAAAGAAAAAGCCGAGCAAAAATAAAAGAGATGAAAAAGCCTGGAAAATGTTTCTTAAGCGACCGCAAAAGGCAGGCGAAAGGAAAAATGTGAAAAATCAAAAGAAGCGACGGCCCCACTTGACATTTCAGCAGGTTAAGCCCCTTTTCCCAGGACTCGGTTACAGTTTCTTGTGGCACTTCTTGGGCCGTAAAATATTTACCAAGGGTAAACAATACAACCGCTACGATGGGGGGAGGAATGGTAAGGGCGAACCTTTTGTCACTACCAAATCTCGGCTGGCCTGAAAACTTGGCTATTGACATAATTGTGGGTGGCAGAGGGCCAGAACTCAGGACCCCGGACCCAAGTCACACTCAAGGCGTTGCCGGCAGACACTTGAAGGCGGTCCAAGGTTCCCCCAAGAAAGGAAGAGACTATCCAAATCCACCCTCAATTAGATGTCAAGAGCCTTGGCTTACACTTGGCCAATTTACCAGCCATACCCCCCAAATTATCCGGTATAAATGGGTTTTAACTTGCAGTTACAGTTAAACTTTCATTTACATGCTCGTTACGAGTTGTTGCCGCAAATTAGCCAGGATCTTTGTTCTGCGAGACGTTGCTGATGAGTCCTGGATGGCTTTCTTATTGGCACTTCCGGGTGAAACTTTTGCTGCATACTTTGAGGGCATTTCAAATGGGTGCTAAAGGATGGTTGTGGAGTGGCTATCTTATCGAATACAGTCCTTGATAAACCTCAACTGTCGCCATCGTCTATATCTAATCGATGGCTCGCGCGCTTTTAGTTAAATTATTTACTCGACCCGTTTGCATAGGCACTTTTATTTGCTTCAAGTGCTATTTCGATTTATCAGCACCATCTATATGCATATATCTCTATCCATATCTATAAATGGGAGTGCGGTTTACCCTTAAAGCAAACAATGAAGCTCTGCTCCGTTCTAGTCCCATGCAAATAGACCGCAGTATTTTTGTTTGCATTTCGGTTGGGTTAGGGTTTGGGCCCAATCTTATCAGTGGGCCAGGAGTGGAAGGGGGCTAATTGCCGGGGTGGTATGGGGTGTGGGAGAAAAATTTCCAGGAGTGGGCATATGCACATTAATGCACTAGCCGGGAGTCTAATTTATGTGCGACCTGTTACTTGTTCCCAGTCACCTTCTTCCGCCAGTTAACGAATTAAACGCTCTGCTTCCGCTCCCAGTGGGTCCAATCAGTCCTAAACCACCCTACTCGATCCTTTTTCCCAACTCGGTTCCCACCAAAAACATCTAGTCGGCGGCCCTTCGGCGGAATTTCCCGTTTATTGGTTTCTTTCCGGATATTGTTATGTTCGGCTGTGAACGCCTTTTCCTTCCGCCGCTCGACGCCTTCGAATTACCAACCCCAACCCTTGAACTAACCTGTTTAGTTTGGTTGTTGCCTCGAAAAGTGCAAAATGATTGCGGTTTCGTGTTGCTCACGGGGACCTCCACCCCCTAGTATTTTCATTCCAACCCCCTTCCAATTTCCTCGTTCCATTTAATGTGGAAACGACACGCAAACTAAAATTGTTGCTGTTGCTGTTTTTTGTGTGAACCCTTTTAAAGTTTCCAGGCAATTGGTTAATGTTCCTTTCTTTCAGGGTGATCATTCTCATTCTTCATTTGTACACCAAAAATATATTATTTCACACCAAATATAAAAACATTCCTTTTCACATTTATATTAATTAAAATTTATTGATTAACTAATTTAATTTATAAAACGTAAATATTAAATTGATAAAGCGATCGTCTAAATTAATTTTAATGGGTTCGACAGTCAAGTTTCAAGATCAGTTCAGAACGATCACCTCAGCTCGTAACACATATTTGCATATCCATTAAATCAACATTTATTTGTAATACTAAATTTTAGTCGTTTTCATTAAAAATACCAACTAGACACAAGGTCGATCGTCCGTTTTGGGCAGGGTCTGCTGTATCACTTGCGGTTATAAAGATTCTTGCGCTGCTCGGCGATGTCCTTCTCGTCCTCGTGGATCGTCCTTCGACCGAAGCGGGCGGACAACTTCGAAAAGAAGCCCACCCGCGAGGGGCGCTTGATGGTATCGGGGGAGATGGATGTTGGGGTCTTGAGATTGGTGGGTGTCTTGAGTTTTTTGAAGGACGGGGCTGCCGGCTCTGACTTTCCGGGAAGAAAAGTGGATGGCCTAGTGGATCCCTGGGAACCGGGATGCTGAAAGCGGGCTGGGGTGCTGGCCATCTTTTGGGTTTGTACAACTTTCGCTGGGCACTCAGTAGAGTTGGCTTGACATCCACGGAGGCACTTGCTGGTTTCTTGGGCAATAGAGTTTGTGGGTAGCTTGCTGGCTCGGATCGCCTGGGTATGTCACCCAAGGGATAGGGGGCCCTGCGGGCTGTGCGGCGAATTAATTTTGGAGGATCCGAAGGCGTCGTCAAATAGGGCTTGATGATAGCATTCGCCAAACGAGGAGCCATTGGTCGACTGGAAGCGGATGCAGATTGGCTAAGATGATTATTTTCCAATGCGAGGGTTACTTGGGCAATGGTGACATCGGGGGACTTAGTGGGAATAGGAATCCGACTGCTTACTGGGTGAGTCGTAGGCACATCCCGCTTGAAGACACCGACTTCACGTTGGGTTTCGGTGAATGCTGTTTAGCCTCATCCAATAGCATATAGGTGCAATAGATGTTATCGAACTGCTGCCCCTTCAGTGACTTATCCAACTCAATAGGCTTGTGACCCATGTTCATCAGCACCTCCAATCGATAGAAATCCTCCAGATCCATGGGTTTCTCCTGAAACGGCCTCAATCTGTCGCCCTCGTGACCCTGATTAATCCACTTGTCCGTCATGGCTGCCAATAGGGTAGTACGCTTGGCGGGATTCAGAACCAGAAACTTCCTAATCAGATGCTCGCATTCTATGGAGATGCAGTAGGGCACTTGGTATTTGCCTCGGATCACATTCTCCCGCAACTCCTTTAGGTTTCCTCCATCAAAGGGCAGGATTCCAATAACCAAGGTATAGAGCACCACTCCCAGTGACCAGGAGTCAACCTCCGGTCCAGAGTATTTCCTACCCATAAAGAGTTCAGGGGCGGCATAGGGTGGACTGCCGCAAAAGGTCTCCAGTGGGGCATTTGCGTCGAAGGTGTTGCTGAAGCCAAAGTCGGCGATCTTTATGTTCATGTGCTGGTCCAACAATAAATTCTCCGCCTTAAGATCGCGATGCACCACGGATTTGCGATGGCAGTACTCGATGGCGGACACCAACTGGCGGAAGAGCATCCGGGCATCCGGCTCCCGCATCCTTCCGTTCTTCACCAGATGATCGAAAAGCTCTCCACCGCTGGCGTACTCCATGACCAGGTAGAGTGACCTCTCAGACTCGATCACCTGGAAGAGGCGTACGATGTTCGGGTGGTTCAGCAGCTTCATGATCTTCACCTCGCGGTACAGCTTCTCACGGGCACTGGAATTCAGGGGCGTCTTGTCAATAACCTTGATGGCCACTTCCCGACCGGTGGGCAAATGGATAGCCAGCTTGACCTTGGCGAAGTTACCCTTGCCCAGTGTCTTGATGATCTTGTACACCCCATTGCCATTGCCATTCAGGTACGACTGGAACTTAAGCGACGAGTTGCCCACATCCTGTCCAGCTTTCGTTGTGGTCTTGGCTGAAGTTACCGGGTCGTTTTCCTTGTCGGACGTTTTGTCTGTGTTTGCTGCTGTCATTTCTGGTAGACCTATTTTTTCGAAATCCCAGCAAATCGTTCGCCGCATACTTGAAAGACAAACTGATTACGAGTTTTCTAGTTCAATTGAATCTTCTGGCAGGGCCTGCTGTATCACTTGCTGTATCACTCAACCTTTCTCTTACTCCATGATGATGCCCCAAACCGCCAGACACCTGGCTATTTGGTGAGATTCTTGCGCTGCTCGGTCGCATCCTTCTCGTTCAGGTGGATCACCCTTCGGCCAAAGCGAGCGGTCAGCTTGGAGAAGAAACCCACTCGGAGGCGGGCTTGGTGTCATCAGCGGATAGGGGTGGCGTCTGGTAACTGTCCTCCTCCCCGCCAGCACCTGATCCTGATCCCCCACCTCGTTTTCCGCTGCGCGCCTGGCCAAAATGGAAGGTAGCCCGTGCCACATTGTTTCGGCTGAAGGGTTTGTCCGAGGCCTTCTCCACTGCTTCTACTCCTACTCCCACTCCCGCTCCCGGAATCCTTTCCAGAAGTCGTCCTCCGATGGCAGGTGACTTGGGCGCTAAAAGGGGCGTAACTGCCGGCTCCGCCTTCTCGTAGAGCGTGGTGGGTCTTCTGACGGATCCTTGACTTGGAGTCTGGGAGACGGGGTACTGGAAAGCGGGGCGGGGTGTTGGCCATCTTCTGGTTCTGGGCCAACTGTCGCTGGGCACTTAGTAGCGTCGGTTTCACATCCATGTTGGCACTAGCCCTCTTGGACTGAGGGGTGTGCGGGAGACTGGAGGGCTGGCTGCCCGAATGGTTGGAGGCTTGCGAGCTGGAGTCCTGGCCGGAGTTCGTCTCGTGGGTTTGGCAGGTGGACCCGAAGGCGGCGTGGAAGTGGGCGTGTTGGGAACATTCGCCAAGCGAGGAGCAATGGGACGACTTGAACCGGCGGAGGATTGGATGGACGGATTCTTGTCCATCGCCAGCGTTACGTGAGCTATGGTAACAGTAGGCGTGGTGATGCTGGGCAGTGGACTACTGACCGATGGAACAGTGAGATCTATTGTTGGCACAGCCTCCGATTTCGTGCTGCGGTTGGAGGATCGCGGCTTGGCCACGCCCAGGAGCATATAGGTGCAGTAGATGTCGTCGAACTGCTGACCCTTCACCGACTGCTCCACATCCCGACGCTTGTGACCCATACTCATCAATAGATCAAACCGAGCGGCATCCTGCAGCTCCATGGGCTTTTCCCGAAAGGGTCTCAATCGATCTGCCTCCTCATGACCCAGATTTATCCACTTATCCGACATGACAGCCGACAGCGAAGTGCGCTTGGCGGGATTTAGGACCAGGAACTTCCTCATCAGGTTCTCGCAGTCCATGGAGATGTAGTAGGGCACTCGGTATTTGCCACGAAGCACTCGTTCCCGCAACTCCTTCAGGGTGCCGCCATCAAAGGGTAGGGATCCACTGACCAGGGTATAGAGCACCACTCCCAAGGACCAGGCATCCACTTCAGGTCCGGCGTACTTTCTGCCCATGAAGAGTTCAGGTGCTGCATAGGGTGGACTTCCACAGAATGTCTCCAGTTGGGCATTGGGATCAAAGGTGTTGCCGAAACCAAAGTCCGCGATTTTGATGTTCATGTGCTGATCGAGCAACAGGTTCTCCGCCTTCAAGTCCCGATGAACCACAAATTTGCTATGACAGTACTGAATGGCGGATACCAACTGGCGGAAGAGCACCCTGGCATCCCGTTCCCGCATCCTTCCATTCTTCACCAAATGATCGAATAGCTCTCCTCTACTGGCGTACTCCATTACCAAGTAGAGTGTCCTCTCCGACTCAATCACCTGGAAGAGGCGTACGATATTCGGGTGGTTCAGCAGTTTCATGATCTTCACCTCCCGGTACAGCTTCTGCCGGGCACTCGTATTTAGTTGGGTCTTGTCGATCACCTTGATGGCCACCTCCCGACCGGTGGGCACATGGATTGCCAGCTTGACCTTGGCAAAGTTGCCCTTGCCCAGGGTCTTAATGATCTTGTACACCCCATTGCCATTTCCATTGACATACGATTGGAACTTGAGTTCCGTACTACCACTAGCACCATCGCCCACATCCTGGCCAGCTGATAGAGTAGGCGTGGCCGGTAGGACGGCAGTAGGCGTGGCTGGCTGGGCAGTGGCGCCGGTGGTGACAATAGTCCCCGTCAAATGGGGATCAGGATCGTTCTCCTTGTCTGACGTTTTGTATATGTTTGCTGCTGTCATTGCTGTCTTTTCGCTCTCCTTAGCCAAAGAGAAGTCCAGGATTCCCAGGCTGTTATCCACGGACATTATAATACTGGAAATTTTGTGGCTCCCAATCTGAATCCGAGTCTGAGTGACCAGACGAGAGTTGCTCCTGTTGAGGATCTGGGCTGGATCTCCAAGTGTGCCGAGCACGCGTCGTTGGATTGGAAAGTATCGCCGCCCCTCAAGTTCTAATGCCCGGAATTTCGTCATCATCAGTCATCGGTGTTGTTGTTTGCACATCTGCTCTATTTCGTCACCCTCCCGACAGCCCGAGCTTTAAGATAAGACCGTGTGTTTGCAACCCTCAGCCACCCCGATTTCCATGCATGGCTGATAAGCGGCTCGTCCTGCTCCTTGCGGCAGGATCACTTTGTCTCGACGCACGACCGCCTGGGCATGAGTCGGTACTTCTTTCAGGAGGCGCTATCACCAACCCCCTGGTGCATATTCCTGTGGCACGAGTCCTTTGTGATCCTCCGCTGCGATCGTGTGCCCCTGTTGTTCTTGTTTGCGACTGGTGAGGATATACCCCAGCTGGTGGTGTTCGGTTTCCTTCGTCAGCGAGGAGTAGCAGCTGCCTTCTATTGGATATAGGGAAGAATGATTCGATTAGAGGTTGCAATCGGAATAGAACTCAATTTGGGCTCTTAATAGAGACTTTGCATTGAGTACGGAAAATTGATTAGGTAGTAATAAAAGTAATAGGAACGCGTACATATTTTAATGATTATTACTATATCCATTATAAGATCATTTATCATTTGAAAATATTATCTTTAAGTTCAAGTAATTTTGTATTAAAATATAAACAACATATTTTAATATATTTTGCTTACTGTAAACAATTTAAATTTCCCTGACATAGAATTATATGCCACATATCTAAACCCTAAACAAACAATAAAAAATGAGTAAATTATTATGACTAAAAGTTTTTAAAGAAATATTTCTCTTATCACCCGTTTCCGAAAATTCCCATGCTTGTATATACCTTATCAAATAAAAAATAACAAAGAATTTTTGTTTCCATTACGAAAACACTTCCACTAATTTTATAGATCTTACACCACTGTGCACCAAGTAATTCACTCTCTCCCCTAACAACGGATTTTCAATTGACCTGAAAAACTAATCTTTCCCTTTGTCATAGAGTATTTTCTTCGGTTCTCTGTTCTTCCTATTTTTTGCATGTCCTGCCGATCTGTACCTATGCTACCTACAAGGAAACTACCCTAATGGGTTTTACCTACCCATGGATGTATTGTAAAAAAAATATATGTATTACAAAGGAACGGGTCCTTAATCTGCCTTTTCTTTTGGCTCGCTCGTTCGCTTGCAATTCTCTCTCTTTCGAGTAACGATTTCAGGTTTTCTCTGCCTGCTCCTTTGTGGATATGTGCGTGTGTGTGTGTGTGAGTGCCTGCGTGTCCTTGATCCTGCTGACTTGTTTTGCTTGCAACCTTTCCTCGACATCCCTGCTTTGCCTTTTGTCTGGTCTCCTTTTCCTCCGGCTCTTCGCTTCCTTTTTCAGCTCCTTTGCCTGCCTAAGTGTGTGTATCCCTCTCTCTCACTTTGACATGTGTGTGTTTTTGAGTTTTTGTGAAATTTTTGAATTGCAGCTGCCACTTTTGGGTCTTTGTATTTATTATTTTTGCCTGCTCTTCTTATTTTGTTACCCCTCTATCTTCTTCTTCCCTCGTTTTTGCAATAACAACACCACAGATCTGTGGAAATTCGCCATAACAACAAGTACTTGGCTTGGCTTGGTTTTAATTCTGGGAACTTGTGTGATCTGTGATCTCTTGGTGGGTTTTTAATCGCTCCCCTTTCGCCACCAAGTTCAATGCACCCCACCTAGGGTTACCCCCCAACTCTCTCTATTTTCCCAAGATACCAACACATGACAACATGTGCGGGTCGTCTCCCATCTCGTTTTCCCCCTTTTTCGCCTTTGTTTTTTTTTCCCTGCCCATGGGATCTTTAGCTTGTTTTTTCCGATCGCCTCTCCTTCTGGTTCTTCTATTTTGATTCTGGTTCTCTGGCTGTTCTTTTTTTTTGTTCTTTCTTCAACCGAAGATGTTTATCCGCGCCAGCACTGAGTCATCATCGGAGACTTTGGGGATCTTCAGGCGCCCCATGTCTGGGGCACTGGTTCGTTAACACACTTACTGCACAAAGCGATGATATACATACAGTTGATCCATTAGCTGACCTTAATAAAACGCCTCTTTTATTGAGAACCAAAGAACGCCCCCCTTAAAGACACAAGATAAGGCTTCTCGTACCACCCAAGGGATATGATCTGGCTTATCTAGGGGCATGGAACTGAAGTCCCAAAACCGCGTGCTTGGTTAATTACACACTTTACTTACGCATCGGTCCATTGGCGATCCCCCCTGGCGGCAATCAAAAACGAATTAGCGTTAATCCAGTGCCAGTCCACAGATGTATCTCATGGTATCGTATCTGGTATCCGTAGAGCGAGAGCGAACTTTCAGATACAAGGCGCGTCGAATAACTGAAACGCATTGAGCGCAATATCTGAAGACAGGTCTTGAACGTCTGAGACGGGCTGCTGAGAGTACGCTAGAGAGTAAGAGAGCAGAGAAGAGCGCCTTACGCTCTTCCTCCGCTCACTGCTCTTCCTCCATTACCTGCTCTTCCTTCGCTCACACTTCGCCTCTTTCGCCACTTTCCACTCCTCTCATTACCCACTCATTCGCTGTGGGCTGCTCTGAAGGTCGTTTCCTTGAGCGTTTCTTGAGGTGTGACGTCACGGCTGCGAAGGGGAGGCACTTTGTCTTCGGCTTTTGTACTTCGTCTTTGCGGCGAATTTGGCCTTTGTAGTGGTCTTCGTCTTCGTCGAAGTTTATTCATTGGTGTGGGTTTTCTTATGGTGGTGGTTGGGCTGTCGTGCTCTCGAGACTTCCCCATTCGTCGTCATCAGCTGTGTCGTCATCGTCGTCGTTGGTGTGGGAGTAGCCGATGGCCATATCTGTCTGAGCTGTCCGAGTGGTATTGGTGCACCAATAAGAATCGGCCAGTGGTTCCACTTCTTGAACAACAACCCCCTCCCCCCTATCCATCTCCCCCCCCCTTGTTCAACCGCTTTGTTTTTGGTAGGGAATGATTAAAAAGTCACCACAACAAATAATAATAATAAAATGCATTTCTTTTGGCCCGCAAAATATTTCTTTCATTTGGCATCGCTTTGGCCGCTGAAAGGAAAAATTATAATGACAAAGTAGGCGACAAGAAGGGGGTTGGTTGCGATGGTCCGATTGCAGACGTAGACGATGATTATAATAACAGTTTTCTGTGATTTCTCCTCGATTCCCGATTCGTGGTCCAGTCCCCTCCTTGAAGGCAGGGCTTAATTAAAAAGCTTTTGGCCATCCACTTGGAAAAAAATTAACCCTAACTTCTAGAAAGTTGCCATTCAAATTGCATCTCTTTTGAAGGCAAGAAATAAATTGTTTTCTAAGAAGTATAAACATTAAATAGATTAAATATTTACTTATCAGTATACTACTTTCATTTACCTCACTTAAATATTTTTATCTATTATAAAAGCACTGTAGTTCTTAAAAGATACCACTTTTGTCTCAGTGCCCTCTTAGCTTGGCAGTTGTAGATTAACATTATTCTTTTGACTTTGAGATTCGGAACTGAAAGTGTTGGGGAACTCTGGTAGGGGAATTTGCATTTAGGCATGCCCGAAAAGCCAAGACAAGTAGGCCAAAGTGACATGTTAATGAGGAAGCGGGTAATTCAGCATGCAGTCGATAAGGCAGACGCCTTTGTAGTAAAAAGTATCTGCCAGATACACGTGGCACGCACACCAGCTGACGCCCCACAAATAGATGAACATAATGCGATTCCGACCGACAAATCACAGTTGGCCACCAGCGGACACGCGCCACCTGATCGGGATGCTATATCTATAGATAGGGAGCTCTTTCTTCGGCAATATTTGATCGTGCTGAATGCGGAAAAAACAGATTGCAACTGCAGCTGACTTCGACGACGTGGACAAAAGGATCTCCGGCAGACAAAGCAGCCACAGGATATGCGATACGGCCACTTTTGCACATTGCCCCGATGAGTTATGGACTCCAGATTCGGGGGCAGCATCTTGACAGACAAATGCGGGTGCATATCGATTTCGACTTCGGTTGCAGGATCGTTGACTCCTTGGGCCGTGATCTGCATTTTTGCGTCCTTCTTGCCGCATCGCGAAAGGTGCAAAATGAAGGACGAACGTGCCGCAAAATGTGTGCGGCGACTTAGGACTTTAATTGGGTTTCCCTGTTCCCTGTCGATATTCAATAACAGCTGGCTCTCGGCTAAGTACACAAATTAACCCGTTCAAACAATGGTTTCTTGGAAAGTGTCAAATTCAACCTCCGATCAAGGACCAAACAATGGCCGGCCAAATGAGGGAAATGGAATGCATATGTATATGGCCCAGACAATAAAAGAAGAATCACAATTTTCAGCTGTCAAAGGAGGGGGTAAATTCTCAGATTTTCATCAAGAAAACGGCTGATTTTCTCACAGTTTTCACCGGGTTTGATTTTCCTCAATCATTCGTCGGCGGCCACTTCAGCCCTTTGGTCCTGGGCAAATCCTTTGCACTTACTTTGCATCGCAGTTATATCGTTCATTCATCCATCTATTCATTCATTTAGCCCCGACCCTCAGTGACTAAGCTACCTGCCATTGTCAAAGAGTTTTCCTTTCGATTTGGTCTAGCATTTCCTCCGGTTTTTGTTATATTTTTGCATAGTTTTCGGCTTTGTTCCTTCCCGGGAACGGCAGAGAAACTGCTTAGGGATAAACAATATTAGCTGACTGAAGGATTTGCATTCCACGTCCACATTTCCCCATTGTTCAGTCGTCGGCCCGAAGAATTGTCAATAATATTTTGCCCATGCGGCACTTTGCCCCCATCTCCTGGAACACTGCGACACTTCTGCCCACATACGGAATAGATAATGACGGAACTAATCCTTTGCCTCTAACCAGAATCCCGATGGCTTGGCTTGGCTTGGATTGGCCTAATTGAAAAGCGGCGGCAACAACAGGGACAGATCAGAAAAAGAGGCAGGCACTGAATGCATTTCGGCGTCGCAATTCAGAAAGCTGAAATCTGCATAATGCAAGTGCATCATCTCATCTGTGCTCTGTGGAGATGCACTCAGAGAAATTCCTTTTAGAAATAAGGATGACATGAGAAAGTTTAATAGAAATTTCTTCTTGGTTTCATATGCTTGGATATGCCAATGCTTTTTAGACTGATTAAATTTGAAAGAATATTTGAACAATAGAACATTTTTTCTTGTAGAATTTTTAACTACCATACCTATAGGTACTATTTTAGATACGTTTTAAAATAAAATTTTTAATTTTTGCATTTTTCGAAAAAAGTATGTATACAAGAATGAAAATTGTCAAAAAGTATAGATCGTTAGATATTTAGCAGCTGTTCAAACAGTCGTTTTTAGCTGTAGCCTTATTTGCTGAACTACGATGGAAAAACCGAAAAAAACTAGAATTTTTGACAAAAACGTGAATTTTGTATTTTTGACAAAAATGTTAACCCTTTTTTCGCCATAAAAATTCAGTTTTTTGGCTGCCATAACAAAAATAAAAGTCAGAATGAGGAATGTCATACCTCGTTGAGCTCGTTGTTTAATTTCCAATCAATTGGCATTTCAACCAAAAAATTTTAAATTTTTGCCATTTTTCGAAAAAAAAGTGATGTAACCCCTACAAAAATTGAGAAAATTGGTCAAAAAATAAATTTTCGTAAAAGTGATGAGGATGTTAGCATATTTAGCAAGCTGTTCAAAACAGTCAGTCTTTTAGCTGTACGCCTTGATTTGGCTGAACTACGATGGAAAAACCGAAAAAAATCTGAATTTTTGACAAAAATTTTAGTCCTTTTTTCGCCATAAAAATTCAGTTTTTTGGCTGCCATAACAAAAATATATGTCAGAATGAGGAATGTCATACCTCGTTCAGCTCGTTGTTTAATTTCCAATCGATTGGCATTTCAACCTAAAAATTTTTAATTTTTGCCATTTTTCGAAAAAAAAAGTGATGTAACCCCTAAAAAAATTGAGGAAATTGGTCAAAAATTTAATTTTCCAAAAAGTGATGAGGTTCGTTAGCATATTTAGCAAGCTGTTCAAAACAGTCGATCTTTTAGCTGTACGCCTTGATTTGGCTGAACTACGATGGAAAAACCGAAAAAAATGTCGAATTTTCGACCAAAATCTGAATTTTGTATTTTTGACAAAAATTAGAGATGTTTAGATATAGATATTATTTTAGTATCCCTTTTTTCACTGTTCTTAATCTCTAGGCATAGAGATTTTGGAGAACTCAAATCTTTACTAATGAAGATCTTTATTTCGACATACTCTTTAAGCTAGTTGTTAGGTTTTTTTCAGATAGTTTACCCCCATTTTCTTTCAGTGTATATGTAGCCTACGTAGGAGGCGCCTGGGGGGCAGCTTATTAGCGAAGATTGTCAGTCAGCCGCCAAACAACAACGGCAGCAACAACAGAAATTGATTACCAAATGTGCACGGCTTTCGAGTGGTTTTAGGTTCGGAATTCAAGGGGGTTCAAGGGGTGAGGGGGGCTGAAGGCCGGATAGGCAGGCTAATAAGCACAAAAATCCACATAGAGCAGCAATTCCTTTTAATTGAAAATCTCTCTCTCGCGCGCTTCCCATTTCCCAATTTTCCTCCACTTTTTTTTTGTTGTTTTCATTTTCGCAATTTCTTTGCGGCTGCAGTGCGTTTAGTTGATAGCGGGGAGGCAGTGGTTAGGGGGCGTGGCTGCAGCTCCAAATGCATTCGATATTGCATTTTTTTCTCTGGCAACATGCAAGGATAATAAGGACTTTAGCCGGCTTGGGACTTTTTTTTGTTGTTTTCCAGTTGTTTTTTTTTTTTGGTATGTGTTTTATTTTTGTGGACTGATTGACTTGCGAAGCGTCCGCTTAACCAACGCTGCTGCTGCTCCATATCTCACACCATTTGAGGGATCCTGGCTTGCCGTTATCCTGGCAAAGTTGATTGCAGCAAGGACTTGCGTCTATATTGCGGCCCGAAAAATTGCATTGGATGCATTTGCTGGGCAAACAAACTGCCGAAACAAGAGTCATGAAAAAAGTTTAAGGCCCCCAAACTCTGGATTCTCCTGCTCCGCGTAAGACTCGCTGCATGTGCAATGCATATTAGCCGAGTTGTGTCCTGCGTCCTGCCTTCTGAGTCCTGGATCCCGAATCCTGGATCCTGTGCCATCCTCGGCCTGTGCATTGTCCTTTTGGTCGAGCGCCTTTTGCCCCATCCCCACGGCGCTGTGTGTTTTTTTCTGCGGCTGCCTTTTGTTTGATTTGCGAAATTGCAATATGCTGGCTGTCTGGCTCAGCTCGTCGTCTCGTCCTGGTCCTTCTGAGACCCCACTCCTTGCTCCCCCCCCCCCACACACACGC